AACGCTTAAGTACAAGGTGAAACAGATATTATCTTCTAATAATAGATGAACATTAGATGACTGTAACATGTAGAATAGTCAATGCTTTGTATACTATAAAATCAGTTCTTTAGGGAGCCAACCCTATATTATGTATGAAGTAAAGGAGTAAAAAAATCAATACACATAATATTTAATTTTATTATACACATTCATAGAATACACTAACTTTCAGTCAGGGAAAAAAAAACGTCACAAAACAAGTAATAAAAAACATTTTATAAATGTCAAATGATGTACGGATGGCAGTGGCAAAAAGAATGCAAACAAGAATTAACGGATGCTACATGTATACATAAATCATCCCTACATAGCTTTCAATATTTAAATCTAATGTTACTCTGTAAAACGCAAACTTGAGTTTAATATTACTGCAGTTGGAAGTTATATATTCCTGAGTGTTGGTATGCAGTTTGTTTATCATAATATCATGGTCATGTCAGGATAGGCATCAATGTAGTGTAACTAAGATCCTAGGTTTTACTTACACGGAAAACCAAGTTGAGTCAAAACATGTCTTGATTATTACACTCTCGTTAGGAGGTTGGTCGAATTGATCGATATGGTATAACCATATTGTATACGTGCATTTTACAGGGTAACATTAAATTTTAATATTGAAACTCATGTAGGGATGATCCATGTATAGCTGTATCATCCCTGTGTTCTTGTTTGCATTATTTTTGGCAATGAAATCCTTACATCATTTTTACATTTATCAAATTTTTTATTACTTGTATATCTATATAATGTACATGCATTTCATGTGCGTTGAACCAATCTTTTTTATGGCGATTTTCTTTAACATATGTTTATCTTGAGTACGAAACCTAGTCTTTGCCATATAAATAAAGGGTAATTCACTTGTACATATCTGGCGATTTTATATATAAAAGATTCATTTTATTCTTACATACCAAAATCGTTTATTTTGCTTTTATTTTTTTGTATTTATAGGGTTTTTCTGTTACGTTTCTATGTTGCATGTTGCTCATTTTATAATAATTGAAGTTTTCATCATACCTATGATCCTATACTGCATGGTGTAGTCTGTTAATGTGTTACCATGCTGTGTATTCCGTGCCATCAGTGTATAGGCTACACGAAGATTGTATTTTTTCGTGAATGATTTTTTTCCCCTATTAACAGTGATATTAAACTTATACTTAAATCGGTTTGAAGACATGCCTAAGGTAAAGTAAAATAAGTTGTATGTAAACCATATATCTCACTCTTTTATGCTCAATTTTCCTAAGATTTTATTTCGGAAATTTTTAAATTCTATCAAGGTCGTGTGGTAATTCAACCCTAAGTGTTACTTTTTGTTTAAAACTTTGGTTAAGGAGACTGTCTACTGTTTTAAGGACAGGTACATTATATTTTACATCACCTTATGTATCTAAGACTACTTTACAGTTATCACATAGAGTAAATATGCCTCCAGATACTTGCGATTGGTCAGCTACATAGAGAATACGAATCGTGTGTGCAATCTCACTGTTTCCAGAAGGATTCGTTCTTAACATAATAACCAAGACGTGCTTTTAAGTCGTTCGACTAAACGACAATTTATTGTTTACTAGCAAAGACCCGCAAAACATTCCCGGACAAATTAGTATCTTTATCGTATCAGTACTTCTTTGAATATAACATTTCTAGCACAATACAATACAACGAAATGTGTAAATACACTTGTATATAGGCCGTACTTTATAAAACTTTTAACTTACGTTAGGCCTAAGTTCGATAAAGAGATAACACTGTAACCTGTGTACATTTTTTTTTTTTACTTTAGTTTAATTAGGACCAAACTTTACTGTACTAAATACTATCGATAAATAAACTTATAATGTTATTCTACG